CGAAACCAGTTTGTCGTGGATTAAGTTTCGCGCGAAGCAAAACGGCGAATAATGACAATTTATAATGGTTGATAAGACAGAGTAATGTAACCATTTGAGTGGTTATGGCGCTCTTTGTGGGTGGTAAATTTTCTTAAGTGCACTGTGCGGAGATTTTTGTTACACATAACAACAAAATGCTGTTTATATTTGTGGGTTGTAAAATGTAATTGAGCGTTAAACGTCGCCTGATTTATGTTCTGCATTGAACTAGTCGTAAGGGGACGGAATTAAATTAACAGTGAAACATTTTTATTCAAAATATAATCAAGACTGCAACCATTACAAGAATAAACTATAGGCGTTTTATGAGTTTACAGAGGAAGTGCTATGTAAGAAATATTTTGGAAGTAGCCACAATTTGGAGGGAAATTGGGGGCAGAAATCTCAGAACGGTGTTTATGGTACTCAAACGGGTTGGCTGATTAAATTGGTCAAAGCTCATTATTGATGCGACAAATCTATTGTACACCACACGAACTCTTCTTGTTAGCAATGGGGCCTTAGATTTTTCGTATTGGTTATAATCATCAGCATCGGGCGCTACCTAAGACCACGTCATAGGCCGGGTCCGTGAAGTTAGCAGAACATTGACGGCACAAATGTCGAGACTAGGTGGATTGATTAGTGCTTCGTTTGTGCCGTAAAAAGTTAGCCGGCAAAACATACCGATTGTTCTGCTAATAGGTCAGTCATTGAGGATTTTTACCTGGAAATAACTCGGGAAGTACAGAAATTTTGTATGCTTGAGTGCGTAGAACTAAAATTCATAAAATGCACGATTCGGGGCCGCCAGCTTGCCAAGATGGCCGTCAAAAGTGGTTTTCCGCCGATATCTCCAAAACTGCGCATTTTACAAGAAAATATGTAGTAAGCAAAATTAAGGAGACGAAAATTTCCTAAATGTAGTTAGCATATTTTCACTAAAGTTAACCCTTACGCGGAAAAGCAGAATAAACACTTTCCATTATAGACAATGAATTAGAAATGACAGTAAAAAAATTTCAGATAATTCTTTCAAAGCATTTGTCCGTCATTTGCAAAATTTTCAAAACTTAACTTTTCCGCACGGTAGCATCTGTTGAGACCCAGAACTTTCATTTTATTGTATTTACTTCTCATGCGTCGCTTCGCCTTTTATTGAGCGAAGTATCTAATCTATGTGGCAATTAACTACATGGATGTTCAATTTGATTTACCGTTAAAATTTCACAAAATTTGTCAACAAATAAGAAATTTACTTTTGCACATTCGCGAAAAAAGCTTTTGATATGTTTGAGATTATCGATCGATTTGCCTTTAGTAAAGGATGCTAATGTTAAAATTTCAGTAAGATCGGTCCATAAGTAACAAAGTTACTTTTGCGCATGCGCAGGAGAATACGGCCTACCAGTTTGGAAATTAATAGGTAACGTCTACACGCGGCAAGGACTGAAAAAATGTACGCAATTTGTCCCATTCAATTTTGAGTTATCGTGCCAAAAACAACCCGGACAACGACAACGGACTTTTTTCTGTGATTAAAACAATACTTTACTTACCCATATATCATTATATGGGTGCGGAAAAGTAATATCATAGATGACATATGCGATTTATATACACTATACTATACTTTAAACCACAGTAGGCGATATGAAACAAAAGCTGATCTAGAAACTAAACTGTGTTGACATTGTAGCTGGAAACATTTTAACAGACAAAGAGTCTGGCACAAGAAAGTAAATAAAAAAAATATAAAAACTTGAGAGCGAAATAAAATATTGTTTTTTATACCCTACTGTGACTTAAAGTAATAAAGTTTAAAAAAATCGCATAGAAAACCAATATCATTCATGGTGTGTTATATTTTTACCAGGCCGTGTGGCGCAATTCAGTTTAGGCTGGAGTGCGGTACTATGGGTCCCTGGTTCGAATCGGCGTTCTGGCATAGATATTTGTAAATGTATAGTGGGTTGGGTTGGTAGAGCGACCTTGGATTAAACCCCGCCCATTCAAAAATAAAAGCAAAAATAAAATAAAATATTTAATATGCTACCTTTTTAGATTAAAATATACAAGGTGTTCCACACATGAGATTAGGTCCGATGTGTTTTTTTCCTGACTCCGTACACTTATCTTGTATATACAACGGCGGAACTTAGGGATTATTATCTATTTCATGTAGTGCAATCGGATTTAGCAGATTTGGACTTATATCCCCTGAGTTCTTTACCATTTGGGGACCCAATCTCACGAATGACTAAAGTACACCACAGACATAATGCTAATTGTAACTTCAATTATTTTGCATTAGGTACAACACGCCGCGAAAGGCTGTCATTGAAAAAACGAAGCTGACACACACGTTCTTCTCCAACACACGGAAGATCTATATAAACAAACCATCTGCAAATGTATTAATACAATTGCCAACAAATTAGACAATAAAGTGTCATCAAAAGCACACTACACTTGTGTGAAAGTTATAATATTAGAAACGTGTTGGGAGTTTTCACACAGTCCCTTTTTTGGTCCAACTTTTTACTATACATTCCGGCACAAAGTTAGCATTAACCCATTCGCGACATTAACATTATACTTAGTTTGAACAGTACAGCGACAAAAGTGTACAAGGTTTCCAGAACATCTAAAAATTGAGATAAACTTCAAAGGCAATGCTTTGCTGGCAAACTTTTTACCCCACAAACCGGCACAAACGAAGCACTAACCAATCCACCTAGTCTCGACATTTGTGCCGTCAATGTTCTGCTAACTTCACGGACCCCCAACACTATGATCTGCGACAATTCATTTATTAAGTTTTGTGCATAAACGCGTACGGTGCTGGAAGAGTTAACAATGCTAGGTAGACGGCGATTTGCCTGCGGGGAGATAGATCGAGTTGAGCTTTCGATGCGTACGGTATCCACGTCGCGAATATTTTTAACGTTGCAAAATAAATAATTTCTGTTAATAGCTGTTAAGAAGTTACAAGTGCGAAGTAAATCGTAGGTGCACCTTTTTACTGCTAGCATTTATTTACCTAAAGTGGAAACGAAGATAGGAGGATCGATAGATCATTAAAAAGTTGCATACGTCCAGCCGGCTGCGCCCAATTGATTCCTGAAAGCAGCAGTAGAAAACTACTACACACCAAAACTATTCCACTTCAGCGCAACGAGACTTCGGCGACCATATTTACGATACTATTGCCGCGTCAAGAAATCAAGGGTTCAACGACCATTTATCAAACTATCGACATTGATTACGTCATTTTCAACAATTTTGTCCTCCGTTTTCTCTGGAACTTGCAAGGTGCATTCCCCTAGCGAACTACTCCAGTTGCAGCTACCGTTAGGTATACCTACACCTGATAAATTAGTATCGGTCCGTGTATCCGTACTGTAATATTTTATGTATAATTCCAACACACTAGTATTGACTAACTTAGTTAAAAATAATTAATTGGTCTTGTACAATTAAGAACAGAAATTCAAAATAAATCTGAAAATTCCCATTCGTTAATGGATATCCAAATGAGCAGCGCATTGTTTTAAAAATTGCAGCGTGTTGTTTTTCTTTGCTTGCGACTTGTTTCGCTTGGGATTATTTGGACGAAAATCGCGACGTTTTGGTTTTGGAATCATACATCCCATCAACATTACCTGAAATCTATTTAGGAGCGTTGAGCAGTTCGCAACACCTTCACGAACCAGATTTACAGGCGTCTATGACACGCAGTTAAAACCCGATCCGGCGAGATAATCAACGTTGAAGAATTCATAAGCGATACAATTACAGAATTATATCTTTACTATTTTCGTTTTATGCGAATTATCAAAGAACGGAATCGCGTATATGGACATTTATGGAATTTAATACAAGTTTAGGCTTTTGCGGATCATTCTGTAATTGGGCGCAAGCCTGTCGAGGCTTGTTTAATCATAATAAATGTATTCAAGGTGAGTTAATTTCTTGAAATTTTTACCACATTATCTCTTATCGTAAGGGAGTAAAAAATATTTTATTTCAGAAGCACGCTAACACTGAAGTTGCGTAATCTCTTCAGATATACTTATGCCATAAAATTTCTGATTCATTTACAAATAAGTTCGAAGTAACATTTTTCCCAATTATTGGTAACGAATTTATTATTAAGGTACTGACGCAATCCAGTTTATAGATACTTGTTAATTAATAATTAAGCACTAAGAATCTTTAACTTTAACTCGAATTTTAAAATAGAAATAACGAATGCGTACGCGCTTTGTAACTTCGCAGACGAAAGTTTTTTATGACGTCCAGTTCTGTTAGATCCTCATTATTACTAATATGCGTAACGTGCGCTTTTTCCATATAAACAAGTTTTTTTTTTAACAAAACAGAGTCGCTAGCTTACGAACCTAATCACATAAACTAATCAATTATGACGTGGGGCATAAACAGAATTCGGTTATGAAATTAAATTAATAAAGGCGAAAAATTTGTTTCTAGCAAGTCTGATTGTTTATGTTGTTATTAAGGAATGGATATTTAACTTGTAAAGATAGCGTTCGGGAGGTAGGCAAGCATACCCCTTTATAGGGGAAAGATGTAGAACTGTGTATTTGTTCATTATATCCAGTGAGAATCCACTGTAAGAATAATTCACTGCAAGGTAAATTCTTTTCAATTAATATCAATTAATTTAATTAGAAATATAATATTTGCAAGTAACTGTAACCCTATATACATCTGCGCATGGTCTGATATGAATAAATGCAACAGATGGGGGTGTTTATCAGGGACGAAAATTAAAGATAGGAGTTACAGGTTTGTGTATGTGTATTATTAATTAAAGTCGTGCGAAACTATGCGCTCGGCTCTCAATTATTTGTAGTTGGAAAATGCCATTAAGTTTGCTAATTACGCAAGCTGCTTGTCATTATAACTTAGCTGAAAGGATGAATTAATTCCTTTTTCCTCTTATAATTGACTCATATTTATTGAAGTGTTTCAAAGAAAATTATACTGGTTTAGGTTGGTTTTAACACGTTTATTGCTGCTGAGAGCAAGGCCCAAGTGCTTTAAATTCTGATTCTGTAGTAAGCAGACCTAGGCGGAACTACGGCTATTACAATAAAGACATTATTATTGTTTTGTCAGTGGAGCAATTGAATCTCCAAGTTGGTTCTGTAAATCGCACGCCATTTCATCGCGTTTTTGTGGCCAATCGATGCCGAGTACTGCCATTTATGCGTTCGCTCGTAGTAGACCGAAAATGAACGGCTCGTTCAACGAAAAGAAAGCTCTCCCTCTTCACAGTTTATTGGGAAAATGGCATACAAAGCTAATAAAATCTGGTCCAAAAGAATGGAGAGTCGGATGACGTTGGGGTCCGTTTTAGGTGTAGAGGTGTTGAAAGTAGTGTAGAAATGCTTAGTAGACACTCACCTAAAAAAGTATCAGAAAAAGACCCTGAGTCTGTTCTTCGATGCAGTCCTTACCGAGTTTAGTAGCAATTTGCCCACAATTTTCAGGTTTATTTTGTTCAGATGACAAGCTACGAAAATTGGTTCTTACTAATGCATTCTCTTGAGTAATATCTTTGAGCTTAAAGTTCCAAATTACAAAAGTTCGAAGTTCTTCAATTTCTTGTGTTGATATAATATGCCATTTGATTATGCTAGAACACCCGTACGCATTTATTGTAAAATGTTTATGTGGAGTGTGGGAGAAAGGAGTGGTGTAATAACCAGTGTATTTAATCCTGCCTCAGTGTCTCACTATAGTACCTTTCCTACGACCCTCCATTTTCGAGACATTCACACGTAAATTCAATAATGTCTCGTCTACACGTTCCAACCGCCTTTTGAAAGTCCCTCGAAACTCAGTTCTTCAGATATTTGCACGGAAAGTTTGGACCTCATCAGTAGGTGTGTCTCGTCCAGACGTTCTACTTGCACTTTATGAGTACCCTCTTTGGACACTATTTTCTAGATATTCGTTTCGACTTCGCCAATAGATATATCTCGTCCGGACGATTCATTGTGTCTTTATGAGTATGTATATATGTATCATATGGGTGGCACTCACTAGGTACAACAGCCGTCTGTGTGACCTAACGACAGTCGTGCTATGACTGCCGGGACCGGCAGCTTTACATGCCCTCCAAAACATGGTCGTCAGGAGGAGCTGTACCAAGAAAACCTGGCAAGTTGCGTGATTCGAACTCACCACCTGTTAGGTCAGAGTCGGAATCTTAAACCGTTACGTCAAAATGATTACTCTTTGTGAGTTGAGTTGAGTTGATATTCGTTCTTAAAGTGTTGAGATCACTAATGAATATATTTCTTCCAGACGTCCCAATTGCCCGTTGTCCGTTGTGGACACCCTCCCCGGACACTCTCCTATTGAGATATGAGAATTATGACGGATCACGATAAGGGTTCGAGGAGGACGACTGTGGTTGGTGTAAATTAATTCATTTCGTTCGCTTTTCATTATATAGTACATTAAGGATAAAATGTAATTAGAAGGGTTAATTGCAGTAAGGCTGTGATACCCACAGGAAACCATCTCGGTGAGTATGTACAAGCAATTAAATTGAAGTTTAAAAAAACACTTTCAGCCACTTCTGGTTAATGGGGGTAATTATATAACTGCAATTGAGTCTGGCAGTAGCCCAAGCTGATGGCCGGACAGTCGGCAGAAGCTTACTAAGGCTACGTAGTTTAAACTAGAGAGCGCGCTCTGATATAAAAACAACAAGAATGAACTCAAAACCTCTGTTCAATGTAATTTAACATAATTGTTTATTTATTTACAATTAATTAACAATAAATTTATTACAGTTTTCAAATGGATTAATTTATAATAGTTAATTATTATTTATAACAGCACTCGAGCGCGATTTATCAAACGCCCTCTTCCTCGGAAGTTCTCTAATGCTTCGAACGCTCCCAAGTATTCTAGAATGTTCTCGAACAAACACGTCATATTTCCCGAAAAATTTCATCACATTATTGCATTCATGGCGCCTCGATGTCTCTCGGGCTTTCTGGAATATTCGCTACAACAGCAATACATTAAATTATATGTCTTTGGCAAAACTGTAGAAAAGTGTCCAGAAAAGCAAGTCACTTCAAACTCGGCTCGTCTTTAAAAACTGGGGAGAGAAAAGGAGTGATGTAGCTTGAAACTTGAAACTTTGACATATGCCTGGCGTCGCCGCCTCTCCCAGGATTTAGTCAACTGTCGTGAGGATGCGTCCCTGGTAGTCACTATCAGGGACGTTTCTCCACTACTTTGTTGCCATCGCGCTGGGCCGCGACATATGCCAAACAATGTGGTGGATTTTGCGGATTGGGGGGGTTGTGGAGGGGGGGTCTAACTGGGTGTTATCCGACCCGAACGGGTACGGCCACAGCTTCGCCACTGGTATTCTGCCTTAGAGGGAACTCTGCTTTCTAAAGGAGTGATGTAGCGGAACAAAAATGTTTAAATATGGTTATTAAAAGGATTGAAATTGGATCGTTGGCTTATTAATACCAATTTAGTTCATTACTGCAAGCAAGCCAATATTGTACATATACCGAGTGATCGAAAAGTAGTGCGGACAGTTTGAATTTCCCGTAAAAGTAAACATTTATAAAGTTGGTAACAAACCAAATGTAATTTATGTAAAAGCAGTGGTGGACCAATTTAATCACTAATGCATAAATAAACTACCTTCTAAACATGTTTGCCAATTCCTTCAGTAAAAAACATTAAAAACTTAAAGCGCCCAATTTAAACTGTCTGCAGTTCTTTTTGATCACCCGATACAGTAAAAAATAATTGGCATGTCACAAAGGCCCTTTGTGTCAAAGAAAAATTGAACTCTCCAAAGGGCTACCTGCCTTATTTTTGCCGCGACTTTTATAACCCATTTCATCAAACATAAATTAAACAGGTATTTAAATGGAAAGAAGCCGACGATTTACAAAATCGTGTTAGCCAGAAAAAAAGCTTAATTAATCTATCTAATCGGCTTAAATTAATTAGCGACGCCCACAAATTGCGACATAGTACAAAAAATATTAATTCCTCGCCGTATTAGTATCTTCATCTTCATTAAAAAAAATTGATGTAGGACTGGAATTGGCTCGAAAACAAGGTACTCCCTGTCGGATTATTTATATTTGCTCAAATTCGTTTAATGATTATTACTTGTTGCACGTACTTGAATGCTCGAAACGGTCAAACAAATGGTCGGTAAACATTCCTTCACTGAAAATTCATGATCGTGGGACGTGAGCAATGTAATTTTAGGAACTTTTCCTGTAGAAACTGCGCTGGCTAATTTTTCAATTTCTTCCCTTAATGGAAATTCCTAAATCCTAAATGAGTAACGACCGGTCTACCTCACGTGTACGAAAAAAATAAAGACTTATATGTATTCTACTAATAACTAAATTAATTTCTCTTCATTTTGTTTAGTAGTAATTTAGAAGATTATTTTGTTCTTGTAATATGTGTTCCTGTTAGTCTTATTTGCGTTCAATCTGCTCAGTCCGTGCATTTGATGCAAGAGTCGAACGGTTGGCCTTATGTGTACGAAAAACTAAAAAAATACTTGTTTTCCCTAAATTACTTCGTTTTTAGGTTAGCTGGATTCATTTGTTTGTGGATTTCCTCATTGATTGGCGACCATTTCTTACGTATTTGGTTCACGTCTATACGCAAACATTTTTTTAAATACGCGGCGAACTACGAACGCGACAGACTACAACGCTAAGATTTTAAGGAACATTATTTCAACATCTTTAAAAATCAGTGAGTGACTCGGCGAGTGATACTTACATGAATGGAATTATTGTCTATTAGTGAAGGCACTAGTGAATAAAACTGCACGAAAGCCGGGCACCCAATAATAAGAATCACCGTGCTTTAATTTGTGTTTCCTTCTGCAGGCACAGTGTGCGTAGATGGAAAGCCGTGGCGACATCTCTTGAATTTTGGCTGAACTGGTTCTTTTAAATTATTTCTTTTTCTTCTTCATGGGTTGTGTTGGATTCTTCTATCACGATTAGGTCGACATCTGCTATCCTAATGATTAACATCTAATAATTTTCCCTGAGGAATGTCACTAGACTTTTAATTCTCGAATCGATGATTCCGTATTGATTTTGTGCTTCATTCATTATTTTCATTATTGCTTTACAAACTTCTTCAATTTTTTCTGCTAATTATTACATTTTTCTTCTACTTTTCGTTGTTCTTCATGTATTCGTGTCTACATCCACCTTTCTTCTTGATCTATGATTTGCATTATCATAACTTCTCTTCTTTTCTTCACTCGTTTGGATGTTTCCTTTTATATTTCGCCCTTTTGTTTTTTCAATTCTTCTTACACTCTACATTGCTATTTTTAAAAAGTTCAACGTTGCATTTTTGCCTAGAAGTTTGCAATGTATTTCTTATGGCAATAATTCCAAAAGTGTTTAGTATCACTGGTTTTGTAATTTTTCTCTCTATCGAGTGGCGTCCATTTAAAATAAGGAAGTTGATGTCAATATCTCGAAAACCGCCATTTTGAAATTTTTTTCTATGTCCATTGAATTTATCCCATCGAATCTTGCAACTTTTATTTGAAACTTTTTTCGATATCTCTCTTTGTTACTAATATATTTATAAACTTTATTTTTTATTTTAAGTATAATTTTTTATAACTTTTTAAAAACGGAGAATTTCACTTTTTTCCAATTATCTATGAAACAAATTATTTTTTTCAAAATATCGCATCGGAATATCCATGACCTTCAAAAACTACACAACTTTGCCAATCTAACCGAATCTGTAAGTATAATAATAACAAAGATAGCCATGTTACCCTACTCTCGATCCTACTCAATTTAAGGCACCCTGTATATTAATATACCATATTTTTGAAAATTTTGAAATGAGTTTTAATTGTCAGCCATTTTTATTTATTGGTATCGGCGATTTGTGATCGCATATGGGATTTACAACTGCGGTAAATCGCGTCGCTGTCGCATAGTGTGCAGACGCCCTTACAAATCCGCGTACGACAATTGACTCGATTTTATTTATTTACAGTAGTAGTCATTTATGGGTAATTTGTGCCTTACCGTTGAAACTCGAAACCAAATTGTTCGTTCGGCATGTCTGCGGTGTTTTTGAACCATTACTTAGTGCGAAATTTTGATGAGGGTATTTGACTAGTTTAAGGGTAAAGGAGTGGGAACAAATTAGGATAATCCACACTGGTTAGGTTATGTTTTCAACGTATTCGCACATCTCGCCGTGACGAGTTCAGTAATTAAATATTCAAAAGGGGTTCGAATCCTCCTATTTAGAAATCACAATCTTTTGTATACTTCCCGAAATCTTATAAGCAATTACGATTCAGAAATATGAATAGATACGGCCGCATTTCTTACGAAGACGCAACCAATTACTTTTTTGACTCGATGTCGCGAGGTTCGCATCGGAAATGGGAAAGATAGGGACGTACCTACAAAACGAAATAAAAAGCAAACTTTTCAAATTAATCACGAAATTGCCCTCACAATCTTAAAAAGGGATTTAATACAAACCATAAATTTACATTACCTGATAAATGAATGGAGGTAAACTTTCGGAAAAGCTCCGTTCTGAATGAAGGGAGACAATAGAAATTTAAATAACTTCGCAGTCCGTTTGCATATCCTTTATTAAAAAACAAAGGGAAGTGGTTATACAAGAAAATTTATCATTTTGATTGATAGTAGGTTGGTACGCCTTACTCGAGACTAATTTTGTAATTATTGCAAATACAAAGCGAGAAACTGGAATTATTACGACGCACATACGCGCTTCCTTTTTTGCTTCAAATGTTGGTATCGTTCCTTGGAGACTGTGTATTAATCTCTGATAAATAGTGGGAGAAATGAGTAAGCCTAAGGGCATTTGCAGCGACCATTAAACTTCAATTGTGCTGTAATATGTAAGAACCAAATTCTATTTTTAATGTGTTCTAAAATGACTGAATTATATGGTCACTAATTTATACCACTTGAAATTTCTTGCTCTAATTGACCCGTGTGTTCATTTCCAATACTCTCCTTTAAGGAATGTTTCCATATTTGCTTTCCTGCAACCTGAACTGCTTGTGGGTAAGAGTTAACCTACAATCTTCGAGCTCATTTTTTTAACCGGGGATTGGAATAATTTTAATTTTTACGTTTGTTTCAAGAGAGATTCTTTAGATTCTTCTTTATTTTCTTTTGGATTTTCTTCAGAATGTTTAATGTTTTTTCTTAAGATTCTTCGTATTTTATCGGTGTTTAAAATTCTCCGTAGTCTTATGATTTTTAGAATTCTTCCGATTATTCACGTTCTTCATATTTTTTGAATCCTTTCGTTTCTTTTTTTATTTATATTTATTTATTTTTTTATTTATATTTATTCGGAATTTTCGGTTTTTCACATTCATCGATTTTTTCAAATTCCTATTTAAATTCTTAAATTATTTCTTTTTTCATTTTTTAAATTCTTTTTTTCTTTGTGTTGAATGAATGACTCCATGTGTTTTCTTTTTTTTGTTGTTTTTCGGATTGTTTGGTTTCTTCAGAATTTCTTTGAATTTTTTTAATTTTCTTATTTTTTTCTTATGCATTGTTCCATTCTTTTCGATTTTTCTAATTCTCCAGATCCATCTATACATTTCTAGAATTTCTTGTGCTCTCCCATTTCTTCAAGTTCTT